TGGTCCCCCTTCCTACCTGCATCCGGCTTCTTACCGTCTGTGGGTTCGGGGTGGGGTCGTTGGTTTTGAGACTCGGGCGATCTCGGGTACTTCCCCTTACGGGGTAGTGACGGGGGCATTCGAGCCTGTTCCTCCAGACGTGTTGTAAGAGTCTACCAGTGGGCTCCCTTCTTTATTTTTTTCACAGCTGCCCCGGGTTCGGTTCCTTGTCCCTCGAGTCGGTTGGTTCCGTCCTGTAGGTGGGTGCTCTCCTCCGTTATTCCCCCCCCCTTTTTCTTGGGATGGGATGTCTTCGTCGTGTTTCTCTCTTCTTGGGGTTCTATGTGACTTTTGGTCTCGGGTACGACCTTGCCTTTATGTGCTTTTGTGCCTTGTGCTTGCTTCTGTGTTCTCAAGGGTTCTGGAAGGTTTTCGCTACTTCCCGTATTATTGTAACGTCTGTCGTCTTTCGGCGTGGCTTCCCTCCAGTCCTTTCTCAGGCTTGTTGGTCCTTTTCTGTGCTTATTCTTGGTTTTCAGTCCTGTCTCGTTCTTTTGTGCAGCAGCGCTGCTCGTTTTCTTTGCATACTCCTCGTCTGGGATGCCGGATTGGGCTACTTGTAGCCCAATTTGATTCCCGATTGCGTTCCTTGTCTTTCTTTCGTAAGCCGGCCATGTTGTTGCTGCTTACTCCTATTTTGGCTCCTGTCCCATGTGATGGGCTGTTTCTTCTCTTTAGCGGTTCATTCGAGTTGCATACTGTTCGGTTACTTTTCTTGTAAAGTAGTCCTAGTTGGCGCCTTCCCACAGATCGGGTTGTGCGATTCAGGCAGCATGTCATTCGCATGCGCCATGGGAGTTTGTTTTGGTCTGGGCAGTGTGCGCAGTGTGGTGTTTTGCTTCCTTTTTTCTCGGGTGCTTCGCCTCTCGCTCTTCTCAATCCTCCGGTCCGTGCTCCGTTGGTCCTGGGGTGTTCTGGATTGCAGCTATGGGGAGGACGCCGGGGTTTTCCCTGTGTAATGGGGGTGTGGGGCGTCTCTTTCGCCTCTACCCTGCTCTCCTGCATGTTCGACTCTGGCCTTCCCTTGGCGGTGCTCCCTGGATCTTCTCGGCAATGTTGTGTCGTGACACGTTCGTGGGTGAATTTCTGCGGTTTGGCGTCTCTTTTGGCCAGTCGCTGGATATGTTTATATTTATATAAATATTTTTATATGAATATGTTTATATGAAATATATACAATGGGGCCTCGACTTACGATGTTAATCCGTTCCCAGAGACGGATCGTAAGTCAAAGCGATTTTTTCCATAAGGAATAAAGGGAATTGAATTAATCCATTCCCCACCCACCAAAATATTAACGTACAAATACATTTTATACTGAATACAATGTTTTTTCTAACTACAGTACAGTACCTAAGTTTATCTTACCTTTATGGAGGGCTCTTGATGGTGTATGGAGGATGGTGATGGAGTTGGGAAGAGGAGAGTTGTTACTGTTTGGAAGGGGAGTCCCCTTCCATTATCACATCAGGCAGTGATGTTTTCTCTGAGGTACTCTCTCTCCTACGTTTTGCCTGAATACCATTAGGACCTGGTTGTGGTTCAGTGCTTGTTTGTCTCACTACAAATTTGTCAAGAGGCATTTGTTTTTCCCTTCGTTTTAACATTTGTCTGTAATGATGCATCACAGTGTCATTGAATAGGTTAAGGCAACAGCCTACTGTAGCTTGATTTGGGTGAATCGTTTCAGCAAAGGTTTGCAATTCTTCCCATGCTGCACACATTTTCTTAATTGTTGAGGAAGAGACATTCTGTACTCTTGTTTCTGCTCTATGGTCATCCTTACATGGGTTTTCATATGTTGAGCCTTACCACTGACTTTCCTGGGACTCGTGGCGTGATATATAATATTTACTTCAATGTTCAAAATGCAAAAAATCACCACAAACGCGGAATTTCTTATAGGCGCGATCGCCACTAAGCGGGTAGCTGTAGTAAACTGAGGCAGGTCAGACCGCGTGACCGGGAACCACGCGTTCCGTCGACCCAAATGTGTATCAACAAATATCGGAAGTCGGCGACACCTTCGGATGTCGAGTTGCATTTTTTTTATGAAATTTACATTGTAACTCGAAATTATCGTAAGTAGGGGCAATCGTAAGTCAAGGTGCCACTGTATGATATATTTTTGGATGAGGTTACAAGAGCATCAGTACTCAAGTGACTGTCCCTATTTTGACCTGTCCAGTCTCACTCATATGCATGTTCGACCCATGCTCGAGTCGCTCAGGGGACCCACTTCATCCATGCTACGAGGTACGATGGTTGAGATGCAGGTTGTGTGCTCAGCTAGTTGTGCATGCGGGGGTTGAACTCTGGCTCTTTGGTCCCGCCTCTCCGCCGTCGGTCACCTGGTGTGCAGGATCCTAGGCCTACTGGGCTCTATCGTATCTACGTTTGACCCTGTCTAGAGTCAGCCGCCACCATTTCTCTACCTTCACTGAGAGAAGTTGCTACATGTTGCATGTTGCTGGTGCACGTGTGCATTGTTAACGTGTACCACAGTGACATGTGGTCCTTGTTCCTGTGTCGGGATGTTGTGCAGTGACATTTTGCTGCAGTTTTATGCCTGGGGTTGCGTGTTGAGGATTGCTTGTGGCATTTTTCGTGGTCTTCTCTGTGGTCCCTCTTTCCTTTCCCGTTTTAGAGTGCCTGGCTTGGCCCTTCTATGTACATTGGTTTCTCTGTCTTCGCCGGGTTGTCCGCCTCTGGTTGTGCTTCCTGGGGTTGAGCTTAGGCTCTTTCGTCCTGCCTCTTCCCTGTTGCTTCCCTGACATCTCCTGGGCTTTGTCATGTCTGCACTTACAGCTGTGGGTGGGGTCAGCCTCCCCACTTCCCTTCCTCGTGCATTCCATTTGTTTACTGCTCTGCCGCTGGAATGTTTCCTTCTTGTGTTCCTTTGGCTTTTTGAGTGCTCCTTCCGCCCGTGTCGCATGGTGCGTCACACTTGTGTGCATTGGTCTGTCTTCGTTGCTCGTATCCCTTGGTTCGGGTGCTGGTCTGTTGGCAACCCTTTGCACCTTCTTCAGTTTGGTTTGTTGGGACAGGGCGTGCAACTTTTTGGGTTGGTCTTGTCCCTATCGTTCCCATTTTGCTGCATGCCTTCTTCGTTCCTCATTGTCTTGCTTCACTCTTGTCCCTGGCTGTTGGGGCTGTTCTTTTGGTCTTTTTCTCGTTCTCTCCTCGCACTGTTGTGTGTTTCGTTTGTGCCTTTGGGCCTTTCTGTTGCCAGGTTTGGGCTCCTGTTTTCCTATCTTGACCTGCCGGTTGGCATTTTCAGGGTCTTGTGGTGTTCCTTCTCTGGAATCTCGCGTTGGACCTGTAGTTTTCGATCCCCTGGCGAGCTATCTCATGTTGGGGAGTTTTTCTGTTTGGCAAACGTTCCATCTCCTTCTTTGCCGGCTTGGGTTTCTGGCTCTACTTCCTCGGTGGTCGTGCTCGAGATCTTCCCGCGGTTCCGCCTCTTCTTGATTGGTTGTGACCCCTTCGGTTCGGGTTTGTTTCTCAAAGGCTTTTTTTCCTGTTGGTATTTGCCTCTTGGGATTGGGTTGGTGAGCTTCTTGCTCACCTCCGGTACAGGGGCTTCTGCGCCTTCGGTCATGGTGATTGGTTTGTTCGGTTGCAGCCGTCTCCCTTTTTCTTGCACGGGATGAGACTGCTGCTTTCCGGAGGGGTCCTTGGTTTGTTGGTGCTTGGTTGGTCGGGCCAAGGGTGCATCGTGTTATGTGTTCGGTTGCGGCCCTCCGCTGTTATTTGCGCGCCACGGCTTCTGTGTCTGGGACGCGCTTTGGGTTGATCCGGTTTCGTTTTTCCATGTTAACGAGTGACGGTCTTCCGGGTTGTCCGCTGTGTTATTGCGGCTAGCCAGCCTGTGTTCCTTCCCCGTGCCCCTGGTATTTGTGGATTCGCTGCTCTTGCTACCATCTTGGCAGCATGTCCTAGCTGACATTCGGGCACAGGGCTTTTGACGGTCATACAGGGGCCTGGCTGCTCGATGTCTTGTCGTTCCCGGGCCCATTCGGGCCTGTGTCACCTTGAGTTGGTGGTTGCAGTCAGTTGTCTTGACTTTGTGTTGGGGAGTGTGTGGCGACCGCCTCCCAGGTACATCCCTCTTTTTTTCTCTGTGGGTAGTTAGCTCCGGGGAGCTGAAGGGGCTTCCCCCATGAAAACCAGCGTTGAATGTAATGAATTGCCATTTTCTGGGTGAGACCCAGAGGCTCGCCGGCATCCCTCCCTCCCTCCGGTCACCGGTTTTTCGCGTTTTTGACATCCAGCCTCAGAACTGATTGTGGATAGCCGGCGCGGGAGGTCTGGGGCTCTGCCATCCCCCTCCCGGAGAGGGGGGAGCTGTGCAGACAGCGGCACGGCAACGTGTGACGTCACGATCATTTGCTCGTTTCTTTTAAGGGAGTTCTATCCATCGGTTCGGCTTGTGGTAGCAATTTTCACCTGAATAGGGGTTTGTTTTGGGATGCTTACCTTTCTGGGTGCCTGACCCAGTCGATGGCAGATATAGAATGCTTCCAACCACTCCGGGGTTTCTGTAGGCCATTGCGCCCCTTGCCTCTTTAATAGGGGGCCAGGTTCTGGCTCGTGATCCCCGGTAGGCCATAGAACTCCATACACATGACTGATGCCAAAGTCTGACATTAGCATATCAGCCTGGATAAGCTCTGGGGAGCCTCTGGGTCTCACCCAGAAAATGGCATTTCTTTATATTCAATGCTGTTTTTTTTTTTTTACTTGCACTTGGCTGTCAGTTTGCTTGTCTGCTCAGGTTTGTTAGATTGATTCTACAAATAACCTATTGTGCAGCAGTGAAAACCTGTTGATTTCTTGATATTCATCCCTGGATTACATTTGTAGATTTCAGAGCTGCTTCATCTTTTGTTTTCATTTGCCAAACAGGTACTGTAATTCCATTTAAAGTTGTTAATGTTTATTAAATTTGACAATTGCAGTTACTGCGAGCTGGACCAGTGGCACGATCATGTGTGCAACTACGAAGTACTGCTTTAGAGCATACTGTTGCAGGAACTGCACCACGTGGCAAGGGTGGCATCTGTTTTGGTAAGAGGAATTTAATTTTCATTTACAAAACAAAATTTACTAAAAATAAGTAAATTTAGTTTTATTCTTTACTAGAGTATATTGATAAACAAAAATATAATTACTAGTACTCTTGTAATGAACCTGTATGTCGAGTACAGTATGGTTGTATTGCATGTTTGTGTTGTGCTCCCTGGAGCTATAGGACTGAGATGCGCTGTATTAGTCTGGGGCTTCAGTCAATGGAGTCCTGCCTACTGGGGACCAGAGCCAGAACCTGGCCCCCCCCTCAGAAAGGTACAGGGAGCAATGGCCTAAAGAGACCCCCTTGTGTTTGGGGGTATTCCTTATCTGCCATCGACTGGGGTTAGGCACCCAGAAAGGTAGGTACAATGGGGCCTCGACTTATGATGCTAATCCGTTCCCAGAGATGGATCGTAAGTCGAAGCGATTTTTCCCATAAAAAATAAAGGGATTTGAATTAATCCATTCCCCACCAATCCTGTTTCCTAGCGTCTCATGGGTTCTCTCAAATTCTCAGACGCCTCCGACGCCAGTGTTGTTGTTATATCGTGCACGACGAGCATTCCTTTGCATTTATTTGTGCTTTTCTTTGTTTTTTTGTGGTTTTGTGACTACAATTTGTAACGCACGATGTCGCCAAAGAAGCTGCTTGCTAAAGATAGTGTTGTCAAGATGAAGAAAGACACAATTACTGTGGATTTAAAGAAGGAAATTATAGCAAAGCATGAGCGTGGTGTCTGTGTGACTGATATCACAAGGGAGTATGGCAGGGCCTCATCAACAATTTGCACCATTAGTAAGGGGATGAGGAGGTAAGGGAGGATGCTGCCTCTTCCAGTGAGATCAGGGAAGTGTTGGGAATGTTTGAAAAGGTGACCGCATTCTTGGAAAAACTGCCATGATAAAGCAGTGACAACCCGGTGTGTGAACATGTTTATGACAATTTGCTGTCTTGTTTTAGGAACATCCTAGAACAAAGACAAAAGCAATTGTCAATAGATACATTCTTTGCAAAAGTAGAGAAAAGAAGAGCCAGTGATAGTGAACCACAACCCGATCCCAGTGGGGAGAAATTCCCAAGAAGGGAGAGCCCGCCTGACTCAGAGGTGGATTCTCCTTCCACACCATAACCCCTCTCCTCCTTCCCACCTCCCCATCGTCTCCCTCAAATCAGCAACGACTCTTCATAAGGTAAAGTAAACATGAAAACAGTACAACAAAATATTTATACTGTAATTACATGTGCAGTATTATATATACAGTACATAAAAAAATGTCATTCAAGTATGGATGTTTTTGGGAGTGGAACGGATTAAATTTATTTCCTTTGTTTTAAATGGGGAAATTTGTTTTTTAAGACAAGTTTTCCACATAACGAGCTCAGTGCCAGAACGGATTAAACTCGTTAATAGAGGTGCTACTGTATATATATATATATATATTATCCAGTATGTGTTCAGTTCTGTATATTATACAGTTAAACTTTTTAATATCTGACAATACATGCACATATTTCATTCAAGATTTATCGGATGAACAAAAGGAGATTCAGCAATTGGCTAGGAAGTTTGCTCGGGAGGAAGTACTTCCAAAAGCAGCTGAACTTGACCGCACCATGGAGTACCCTTGGGAATTAATTAAAAAGGTATGTGAATGTTGTGAATAATTAATGGTTGATCAAGACGTTCTCAAGAAGGATTTATGAAAGTACCATAGAGCTTAACCTTGCTTGAACAGACTGGTTAGGACCAAACCTTTTTTTGTTTCACTGAGGATTCTGAACTACTTAATATTCACCATTTTTCTGGGTGGAGCCCCGTCGGCTCCCTGGAGCTATACAGGCTGATATGCTAATGTCAGACTTTGGCATCAGTCATGTGTGTGGAGTTCTGTGGGCCTACCGGGGACCACGAGCCAGAACCTGGCCCCCCTCAGAGAGGCAAGGGGAGCAATGGGCTATAGAAACCCTTGTGTAGTTGGAAGCATTCTATGTCTGCCATCGACTGGGTTGGGTACCCAGAAAGGGAAGCGTCCCAAAACAAACCCCTATTCTGGTTAAAATTGATACCTAACGTCGAACTAGTGAATAGAACTCCCCAAAAAGAAGTGAGCAAACTAGCATGACGTCACTGCACCGCTGTCTGCGCAATTCCCCCCTCCCTGAGAGGGGGAAGGGAGAGCCCCAGACCCCCACGCCAGCGATCCACACCCCCAGTTCTTCGGCTGATGCTATAGGCACGGGTTGTGTGCTCCGGCTCCAGTGGTCGTTTCAGCACTGTACCTAGAGTGTGGTGTCTGTCTTCTAGGTGGTGTGTGAGCCGGGAGTGAGTCGCCAGTACTCGGGCTGCATGCGCCTAGGGTTTACCTTCCCTAGGTGCCCTGTAAGTACTGCTCTTGGGGCTTGGGGTTACCTTCCACAAGCTCCTTGGGTCCTGCTTTTGCTAGGCCGTTTACTGCTTGGTTTTTGGCCGCCCTTTGTGTGATAGGATGTTCTGTCTCCCTTGTTCACCTTAGGGTAAGGGGCAGTTTGCACTGGTAGGGGCACAGAGTACTGCGCAGCTTGTTTTCACCAATCATAGCAGCTGGCTCTGTTCCGCCTGGGTACGCTGTACTCTTGCAGTTTTTTTTTCTTTTTGTTTGTCTACGTGGTGGGGGGGTCTGCCTTTGGTTCTTTCCCCCTTTCTACTGAGTTTTCTGCCTTCTTCCAGTGGTTCCCCCTGCTAGGTCCCCGTGAGTGTTCACGACCCGGGGGTTCAATTCTTAGAAAGTTGTTTGGTAGACATGGGCGCCGGTTAGCAGTACCCTGCCTGGGATTACCTGAGCATGAGTCCTTTTATAGTAAACGCTCAGGACCCTGGGGAAACCCCTAGGTGGAGCGAGGGCCCAATGGAAGTGGCCCCGGAGTCCCCCCTCGCTTTGTTTGAGTTCGAGGGGTTGCTCTGTCCCCTTGTCTCGGGGTGACTTTCATTGTTTTGCCTCTGTCTGCTGCCTGTGGGGTCGGTGACACCTTCGGCCTGGAGTCCTGCGAGTTTTGTTGCTTGTTTGTGTCTTGGTTACCCAGTCTTATGCTGACTATGTGGGTGCAGGCAGCACGGGCATTGCACGTTGAGTTTCGGTGGCAACGCGCTAGGTTGTTTGCTCCCTGGAAGCCCCGTGGCTCCCCCGTTTTGGTTGGTGGTTTTGTCGGGTCCCTCCTCCCTTCCTCCCTGCATCTGGGTCCTTACCATCTGTCGGTTCGGGGTTGGGGCGGGGCTTCCATGGTTTTGAGACTTGGTTGGTCTCGGGGAATTCCCTTTCCGGGGTAGCGACGGGGGCATTCGAGCCTGTTACTCCAGCCGTGTTGTATGAGTCTGCCAGTGGGCTCCCTTCCTTTGTGCTTTTCACGGCTGCCCCAGTTTTTCTTGTGAGGCTGAGGCTTTGGGGGAATGGCTCGGCCCCGGGGCCTGCCGTGTGGGTTCCCGGCACTGGTTCATTGTCCTTTATGCCCGTTGGTTCCATCCTGTCAGTGGGTGCTCTTCTCCGTTCTTCACCCCTTTTTCTTGAGACGGGACTTCTCCGTCATGTTCCCGTCTTCTTGGGGTTCTGCATGACTTTTGGTCTCGGGTGCAACTGGGCCTTTCTATGCCTTCGTCATTTGCCTCTATGCTTTCTATGCCTCCTGCCTCTATGCTTTCTATGCCTCCTGCTTCAGAAGGAGCAGGAGGAGGAGTGGGGGTGGGAGGAGGGGGTGGAAGCAGCAGCAGGAGAAGGATGAGGAGCTGGAGCGGTAATAAAAACATACAGAAGGAAGAGTGGGAGCAGGAGTTAAGAAGCATTTTATTAGTAAAAATAATGTAAACTTACATAAGCAGAGTGGAGTGGAGTGGTGCGTGTAGAGGTACTTCTCCGACGAGGTATAAGTTCGAAACTGTAATATTTAATAGGAGAGGAGCAGCAGCAGGAGCGCCACAATTCACATCTTTCCCAGGGCAATTGAAGTAATGCACTAAGAGTTGCATAATCACACACTTAGGGATATTACCGCGCACACGATCCCTTCTTTGTTTCTGAAGAAAAACACGTGACTAAGGCATGCAGACCATCACCATGCTTGGTAGGGCTGCGTTCCCGCAATGATAACACGATGGATCTTTGTTTCTTTGTCTGACAAAGAAAAGCGCATTTGCCACGTGTCAGCAGACCTCAGGTGAGGAGCGATAAGCATACGTATTTCCTCGGTGAAATAGAAGACATTACTAAGGGAAGATTTTGAGTACGCTAGCAGGTGTTCTTCATTAGCTCAAACCGTTACCTATGTCTCAACCTCGCAGTCAGTCAGCCAGTCGCGCGCGACCTTATCATCATCTTGTGTTGACTTCTTTGTTTAACAGAGAAACGGAAGAAGTAAGACATGTGACTGAGACGTCAGGTAGGTAGGTAGACCGTCACCATGGTGTGGGCAACCGTTCTCCCTCCCAACACTCACACACACATTTTATAAGAAAAATAGGTGACAGACAGACAAATAAGGTTTTCTTCTCATAGGCAAAAACACTAAAGAGTCATAATCCCATTTGGGATATTACCGCTTCCTGCTGTGAGAACACACGTCTTCTCTGTCTGTCATAGAAAGGCAATGCTTTCTGGGGCGTGGGACAATGGCTTCAGGTAGGCGGTCAACCAGGTGGTAGGCGGTCAACCCATGGCTATGCATACGTCCTCTCACCTGTCCACACCCTAACACACACACACACACACACACACACACACACACACACACACACACACACACACACACACACACACACACACACACACACACATATATACACACACACACATACACACACACACACATACACACACACATACACACACACATACACACACACACACACACACACACACACACACACACACACACACACACACACACACACACACACACACACACACACACACACACACACACACACACACACACACACACACATGAGAAATCGGTTTTGAGGACCCAGTAGTAATGAGCGACCACAGTGTACTGGTGTTTGAGTACTTGATTGAAGAAGGATTATTGAACTCGAGGAGGGATACCGAAACCAAAAGGTTAGCATACCGAAAGGGAAACTATGAGGGGATAAGAAAATTCCTAACAGATATAGCATGGGAAAGAGAGCTGAAGGTAAAGACGGCCAAAGATATGATGGATTACATCACGCAGAAGTGCAAGGACGCAGCAAACAAGTTTGTCCCAGTCCAAAAGGAAAACAGAGAAATGAAAATGAGAAACCCATGGTTTAATCAGAGATGTAGGCTAACTAAGCAGCAAAGTAAAAGGGCATAGAGAAACTAAAGGAATAACAGGACACTGGAGAGCAGAGAAAGATACCAGAATGCCAGGAATGAATATGTCAGGATGAGAAGAGAGGCAGAAAGACAATACGAAAATGACATCGCAAGCAAGGCAAAGACTCAATCAAAATTGTTGCATAGCCACATCAGGAGAAAAACAACAGTAAAGGAACAGGTTATGAAATTAAGGATAGGGGCGGAAGGATTCACTATAAATGACAAGGAAGTGTCTGAGTAATTGAATAAGAGATTCCAGGAGGTCTTCACCTTAGAGCAAGGAGAAATTCCAGAGGTAAGTGAGGGAATAGTAAGTAAGTAATTATCAAAAGAAGGCACCAAACCGGGAAGGCTATGTAGCACCATCAAATACGCAAAATAATCAGAGGGGGCTAAATATCACCAAGGATGCCACTACGAGAACAAAAACGCATAAGGCGAACGATATCAAAAGTATCCGAGTCGCCAAGAATTCTATCGAGGGACAGGTGACCGCGAGGGGCGGTCGGAAAGCAAGACACACGCTCGTCCCGGAAGTCAGGACATTCAAGAAGGACATGCACGACTGTAAGAGGGACAATGCAACTAGGACAATAAGGGGCAGGGCGGCGCTCCATCAAGTGACCATGGGTTAAGCGAGTATGGCCAATACGCAACCTCGCCAGAGCTGTTTCCCACCTCCGGTTACGGTGGAAGGAGGACGGCCACGACGAAACACAACATTTAAGAGTACGTAGCTTGTTACCAGTAACAGACAACCAAGAAGCCTGCCAACGGGTAAGGACTGAGGAATGGATAACCGGGTAAAAGTCGGAATACGGAATGCCTTTATGAGAGATGGGACAAGAGCGGACAGCTTCCTTGGTGGCAGCATCCGCACGCTCATTTAAAGACACACCAATATGGCTGGGAACCCAACAAAACTCAACCGACTTAAATTTACTGTGAACGAGAAACAGCCAATGCTGGATCTCGACAACTACTGGATGAACCGGATTAAAGGACCCGAGAGCCATGAGGGCACTACGAGAGTCAACAACAACTACAAAGGAAGACTGACAACGAGAAAGCAGGAGACGAAGAGCATAGAGAATAGCATAAAGTTCCGCTGTAAAGATGCTAGTCTCCGGAGGCTAGCGACACATATAAGTGCGATCAGGAAAAACAACAGAGTAGCCAACACCGTCCGCTGACTTAGACCCATCGGTGAAGACAGAAACGGAGCGGGAGTGAGAAGAAAAGTGCTCGAGGAAAAGGCGTTTTAGAACCGTAGGAGGGGTAAAAGCTTTAGAGATACGGGTCAAGGATGTACAAAACCGCGGAAGAGGGACCCTCCAC